TATTGACTTTTGTGGTTCCCCTCCCTTGGCAGAACATGAAACATGGTTCTAACGTGTAGCTAATATGATGCCAAGCACTATATCCAACTTATCCCACTCGCGCAAAGCCACGCACACTTTACCACAATTCTCTGCTCAAATATAATTAATGCACAATTTTTTCAATTTCTTGCATTTTTTTCACTCAAGGCTGATCTTAAGCCAACAAATAAGCAGTTTTAACTAAAGGATATTTATTAGACAGCGTACTCTAAGAGATAACTTGCGGTAAACATAATTATATTATTTAATATTAAAATTGTTATTTTTACAATTCTGTATGTATTCTTATTGTTTGCACATGTTAAAATTTGCCCAATTAACAATAGTAGCTTGATGGCCATTATGATCGATATATAATCGAAATCGATCGATTATAGTCCTTCGAAATTCGCCATAATCGCATATATCGAAACACAAATTAACTCGAGTAGTCAAAAATTACCAAAAAATAAAATAAAATACCCAAAAAATTAAATAATTTTTTTTAATTACTGAAAATCGCAACATGCGACATGCATTCGGTAGCCGAAGTAGAGTGCCATCAGTGGCTAGTCCAGAGGCACACACTTCTATGAATCACTTTAACATAGGTCCTGTCGGATTGCAGCAGCGGTACTTATGTCTACCTATAGAACCATAGGACAAATTGGACAGTTGTCTTGTTTTGGTTTGACACCCCTGTCCCACAGATGTTATCCGTAAGATGCAGATTCTACTCTCCTAGCGTATTGTTGTTTACATTGTGTTGGAGAGGATATATCCAATTGGCAGCGACATAACTCGCGCTACACAAGCCTACACTATTAGAACACAACAACTTACGTACAAACACACCGGGATAACATAAACAATAAAGAACAAGTCTTGATCATGCTTTGCTTTTAAAAAACTGCTTAATGTGTTTTAATTAAAAGCATTTAAACCATTTCTTCTTTAAATTGGATATAAATACTGCTATATAGGAACAGACATTGATATACATACAGCAACCTCACAGAGTAATACATGATCATAAAAACATGATACATATTGAATGCCTATGTATAATTGTATATACAAAGTAAGATATAAATTAACATCTATGCTGATTAGTTAACCGCATTATCATCGGTTAAGCGGCAAACGATAATCGATTCATTGAAAATTCCAGGCGCATTTCCCATCACTATAAATAGTATGTTTCACTAAGTAGGCAGTTATTTGGGTTTTAAAGATTTGTTAATGGGCATGAGTCATGAAAACCCCTTAAGGTAACCTTACCAACACCATACTCCTTTTTTTCGTGGGGGGGGGCCCGTTCATACTACATATTTTACCTATGTTTTGTTTTGCCCCTCTATAATCTGGAACTGAAACCGCTTTGAATAAAATTCATCTGCCCATTTTGTAAAGTCACTCGCTGGGGGGGCGTGATGCTGCTAAAGTCTCCTTGTGGTTTTTTCTTTTCTTTTAAGGCCCACAAAACATTATATAAAATGGCAATAGGAAACTTTACGTGGGTGTCTCTTCCGGTTGTAGTCTGTGCTGTACTGTGCCTGCCCCACGACAGATAATGCCACACTTTTGTAGGAATATGGAACTGCGGGGATGTCTTGATGAAAGGACACAATGCAGAACTAGACCTCATTATTTTTTTCCCCTTGGCTAGCCAGGCCTCTGATTTGGCTTTGTAGCAGTGGCGACTCGGGATTGCACTTTTAACCGGCAGCTAAACCAAAAAAATAGAGAGCCAAACAGCCTAGAAAGTTTGCCTATCTACTCCCTGTATTTTGAATTAATCCTCAGATATTACAAAAACAAATTCGATTTGATTTGAATTTATTTTCTGTATTTTTTCCATTTACAAGTTTAAAGCAAAATAGTACAAAAATGAATCAAAGTAATAATAAACATATTCAAATTATGTGAAACAAGTAAACTATGTCATTACATAATTTAGATTATAAAATAAATTGAGAACCCAAAACCCTACAACACGATACTTGGCGAATTTTGTTATGTAACATGTTTATAAATAAATTTATAATATGCTATAAAATAAAAAACTTCATAGATTAAAGCGAAATAAAAAAATAAATATTTATGCCCTTTCTCCCCTTACCTAATGACTGGTGCCATATACCGCCACAAGTTATTGCCGCCGTCACGGATATTGCATCTTGTTTTTATTATAGTTCGATGTCAATATCCAAACCATTTTATTTATCAAGCTAATGATAGTATTACAATGATAAACATTAAAACGCAGGACTACAGCTGATTTAATAAATTTCTTTCTAATATTATTCCATATTAATTGCATGATTCTTTAATTAATCTCAATATTTTTTGCTGCTCATATATTGCCCTGTCACAGTGTGTCGTGTGCAAAGTCAGGGTACGGTGCCGACAATGCAGGCGGTACGCAGCAACGATCAGTTATTACCCGAGGTACTTTCGACTATATCAAACCGTACCAGGTTACCTCGATAGTAACCTGCTCGGCGGACATAGACCCTATACAGCACTACTCAGTTACTAGGATGAGCCTCAAGGGGAAAATCAAGCTTGTAATTTTGTACATAAAGCGTGCGGAGAAAAGCATAAGTAATTAATAATAGCAACATGTTAGCAGCAATGCTGTAGGCCTACTTCATAATAACGTGCGTCTAACTTAAGTTTAGTCTTCACTGCTAGCCCTCTTCTAGTAACTATAGCCACGCCAGTTTGCCGCTGTACGCGGAACTAGTATACGTTACTACTACTTGAGCAGCTTGTCTACTCTTACTTTTTTGAGTCGTACGGCGTCGGCCTGCTGCAGCCAGTTAACTTAAGTCCAGTGGGTTGCTACACTAAAGAGCTTACATATGTAAGCCGTTTTAAATATATGTAACATTCTAATCAGGATCGCAAACCTCCAGTTTCTGCTTTGCCCAGCTAATCCCCGCTGTTGCCCTTTGCCGTAGAATCTGTTAAAATACTTCGGTCAGCATTTGCTGCGTGAATCAGCATCTCGTAGGCAAGGCACCCCACCACCTGCATCATCGCGATTCCAGCGGAGTGCCACAGTGGCAGTAGACTCCATGCAGCATGGCGATGAAATTGGTTTCGCAATTTCAGCTTAGACATGCCTGCCCCACTAAATCATTCCACAATTACAACCACTCCCCGTCAGAAACGGTAGTCAAGTTAAATGCTTTGAAAGGTGCTAATTTCACTTCTCATGAAAGCACCAGGGTCCCCGAACAATAACACAGTATTCAAATGGCCTCCGTCGGGCGCAGTCATTGCTGGAGTCGCTTGAGCAACAACATAGTGCAACATAGCGTAGATACGGGCCTCTTTCGCATTGGCACTTATTTACCCTTCGCCTCTTTAGCACATGCCGTTGCAACGCGGACCTAATTGGACAAATTCTCCGTCATGTTACTACGCGTTGTCGTGAATAATAATGCTGAATAGTTTCCTTAATCTTTCCAACCAAATTACTAAAAACGTCGAGGCGCCTCAGACGGGGATAAGCTTGAAAATCGTTGTTTCATATGTTTACCCCTATTTACAAACGATTTTCATGCTTCTGCGCGCGGGAGATCACAAGACTGAACGCAACGGACAGGACGCCATATAGTCTACAGGGGAAGCATTCTTTGATGCCAATTGGGGCGCATAGCAAAAGTACCAGGCCCTCTTGGCTACTGACAGGAAATGAAAGCAAGTGTCTCGGAGAATGATTGCGTTAGAAAGTGCAACAGCCTGACTTGCCGAGTTTTCGCTACCTCATCAGGTATCCTGTTGCATGACTTTGAGCCGATTGAACGAACAGTAAGAGCGAGCAGAATGAAAGACATTTAAGCATACTGGGCTACATCATTTATCATTGTTCAATTTGGAAAGCGACCTGGTGGCGAGCTGATCCGGGAAGGGACGATTCGGCAACTACACTTGGCAAACTAGTTGAGGCTAATCCTGCTTACTTCGCCGACATTGACAAAAATCGACCAACCTACCTTTGCCTGGACGGTTCCATATACCTGGCAAGACATGCAAATTCTGCCTGAGACGAGCCACCAGCTACTTATGCAAAACTTTCTGGAATGGGTGGGCTCTCGCTGATCGAAGCGTCGATCGCGTGCCAACGTTCAACACCCGCTGCAAGGGACATGTGCTATAGAGCAAAACGATAAAAACGCTCCTCAAAGAGAGTGGGGGTGGTATCACTTGGTAGCAACCAGGACAGAAGGCAATACGTTACGACAATCGGAATATCGACTTCACCATGAAAATGCATGTCTGTTAACACCCTAATTAACCTATGAAGTATTAAAAGGATACTAGACTCTAGGATTTTACTGCATACAACTGTAACAAATGTTCTATACCAACACGTACTTGTTACCAGATACCTAATTTAATTGTTATAATTAATTATACATCAACGCTACGAAATTTGAACGACGCCATTGACACCCACAACCGTGCTGCCACCCTGAAAAATTTGCGCATTTCCCAATATATTTTGCACATTACAGACCGAGGGCTAATCACAAAGGTGCAATTATATTTATACCTAAATGCTATTTAACCAAACGATGTTCATTTTAGGACAAATTTATCCATAATATAACTGAAACTATGTCGTTTATAAGATATTACAATCTTTTTGCTTTTATATGAATAAATAAGAAACACCCTCGGTCTGTAGGCCTTGGCTGAAAAGTAATTTTGCCCAAATTTTCAGATCGTGCGCTTTGAGTGGCGCCACCGTCGTTGTAATCAAACTGTAGTTGTTAGTTTTAAAGCATTTTAAACAAAAAAATATTTCTAATGGTGATTGAACCATGAAACCTTTTATGTAGCGTAATTTTAACCTAAATTAACTGAAAATAACCCTAGAACCTAGAGTAAAGGATCCCTTTAAATAAGTAGGAGCTAGCATAAATTACATGTGCAGCATTGTACAGGGCTGGAAAAACACTCACCTGAGGAGTGTTGTGTGGGGAAGAGCCTACAGCAGAGCTGGTGGTCATGATATTTGGCATGATGATACCCTGCTGGCCACTCACCATTGCCAGTGAGATTGGTACAGCTATACTGCCAGGCACTGACGCTCCAGTCATCGATATCTAAGTGATTGCCAAACGCTGTCAATAATACTGCTCAACATTTAATATAATTATAACACAATTATAACATAATTCTAACACAATGCTGTTGAGCAACAGTGCATACCTACTGCCACATTACCTAGGTGATTAAGTTTCTTTTTGGTTTTCACCCGATCACAATCACGTTGTTAGCACGGAATATGACACACTTGCTGATACCTGTTAACTCTAGACCTCTACAACACTATAAAGATTTTCAACTGCTATATACTTTCACTAAATGAAAGTGTCAATGACACTGTAGCTCACCTTGGGTGTGATAGAAGAGGGAGGGGGGGATATATAAAGCAAGAGTATATATGGGAGGACTCCCATTATATAGCATATCTCCCATTATATATTCTTGATAATGATATATGCAAGTATATAAAATAAAAAAAATCGAATGAATTTAGATGGCCATTTTCATTTTTGCCAAAAAGTGGGCGTCGCTCGAAAGTAGGTCGACTGGCGTGCTCCAAAATAGAAAGTTCAAATCTCTCCCATAGGAGTAACAACTGTATTCAATTTGAAACATGTGGGTCAAATGGTTCTTGAGTTATCGTTGACCGTAGGCAGACACTGAAATGCATAGTGAAATTGCCAAAATCTACCTAATTTGCATAATTTAATAAAAATATCAAAACACGTGTGACATGTTTTGGGGCCAGTCCATATTCATTCACATACTACAAATGAGCAAAATCCATTGAACCTGAATTGACTTGACTGACTGGCAATAGCTCATTATTAAAATAATCTCGTTATAAAGCTCGCTAAAAATTATCTTGTTCTTGTTGTCACACAATCTATGTATATGAAGTGATACAACAGGGATACAACAGTGATACAACAGTGATGCAACTTTGCAAACTATGGGTCACCAACATATGCACATCGGTGATGAGAGATTTTTGATAAGTTATTACAGACGTTATACCTGTACATTTTGAATGCCTGCTGCTTGGAGTGATTGTAGCAGGTTAACATTCTGTGGAAGTCCAAGACTAGCTAGATTGATGCTTGTACCCAATGGAGGTGGTTGCTGTTGTTGCTGTTGCTGCTGCTGTTGTTGTTGTTGTTGCCGCTGCTGTTGTTGTTGCTGTTGTTGAGGATGTTGATGTTGTTGTTGTTGTGGTTGTTGTTGGTGAATGTGTTGTTGCTGTGGTTGTTGATGATGTTGTTGTTGTTGCTGCTGCTGTTGCTGAAGATGTAGTTGATTCTGTTCAACAGAGGGTGACATCGCTACACCTAGGGCTAAACAGAAGTCAGATATGTAGATTATCAAAACACAATTTCTGCTACACTGCAGAATAGTTACTGACTGATTACACACTGTTAGGCCATATGCATGTTTAACTGAAGCCACACAGGAAATTCAACCAAACTCAAAATGTTTGAATATGAATTGTATAAAGACCCTTTGCAGATAAGTAAAATGGGATAAATTTGAAAAAGCTGGTTATGTACATATGCATAACCTCAAGAAATGTTTCACACAAATATTAGGTGGGACGGTGGGTATATGACTATGACAGAAACATACATATAACCAAGTAAGAAAAAACTGTGTAGTAGAAGTAAGAAGTGGAACACATGTAAATCAAATATTATAAATACCAGGTTTAAACAGCATAGGAAGTGGGTAAGTCCTGTAGCTCCTGGCAAAGTGGTCATACTTATACTTACATGTTGCATTGAAAATGGGAATGATAATCTCACCTGGAATATTCCCAAAGCCTGATACATTAGGCTGGGTCGGAGTGATGTCACCAGTGAGCTTTGGCGTTGGAGTTCTTGTTAAAGGTGGTGGAGTCGTCACAGGGTTCAGTACAGTAGCTTGACTGTAGCTGGGAGGTTGCCCTGGCAACAGCAGTGGGTTCCCACTAGACACAGGGGACACACTTGAAGGCCTAAACACAAACAAGAGATCATTTAATGCTTATTCACATAGAAATATATTTGTGTTTTTCGTCACCGAACAGTCTGATTGTTAGTAAATTGTGTTAATAACCAAACAATTGTTAGTTATGAAATGCTTTGTGCAGGCATGAAAATAGGTAATTCTAAAAATTCCCCCATCCGATAATTTCTCAACAGATTTGCATCGATCTGCCAAGTGAAAAAATTGGAAACGAAAATCATGAATCCATGGAAGATTCTCATGACTGATTGTACCATGTTTTATCTTCAAGAAGAGCCATTCTTTTAATATTTTTTATATAAAACACCAATCTATACCCAAACATATATCACACATTATGATTTGCTATGCCGTCTGTGTGACACGGCACTCTTTGGTATTACACGTAACTCGTGTATTTCTTGCTCGACACTCACGCGTTCAGGAACCACCAGGTTTCAGTTTTTCCCAGACAGCTGCAAACAGAGGAAGACATACCGTGACAGAGTGCCACTGTGCTGAGACAGCTGTCTAATGAGCTGCTTGCGCGGGGGCGGTGACATCATCAAAGGTAACGTTTGGTCCTGTGGCGATGCAATCTGCAGTCCATGTCCCAGCATCGTGCCCTGCACAGAAGTGGGCAGCATAGTCTGCCCCATAGTGCCTGCTCACATAGAAACATTCTCACGCATTACTGGTAGGTGTGAGCAGTTCTGTTAATTGCCAGCAAAGTTTCTTCTTACATTGACAAAACTGTAACAAGGCTATAGCAATTAGCTTAAAGGGGTCCTTATCCAGCAATCTGTCCAATAGCACCTGGTCACATAAAGACCCTCCCTTTATCACCACTGCCAAGTCCATGATCCGTGGCTTAATCGTGAGCAGTAATGACAACGGTTAAACAGATAGGAACAACAGCATGTACGTACCACACAGCTGAGGTGGAGGACTGGTCAATGATGTGCCACCAGGTAAGGTTGCCTGTAAAAGCGGCAGCCGCATCTGTGTCTTCATAGGCTTCGTGAATGGACCCTGGTATAGGATAACAACAGATGTCACTGTTATTATCTTGTTACTATGTTGTCTTATGTGTGTTGTAGTAATGTATCGATGTATATACAATCACTAACACTAATGGAATAATACAACGGCTTTCACAAGCATAAACTAGTTAGGCCCTGTGTATCCAACAAGATATGGTGAGACATTCACATTTTAATCAATAGGGTAAGCAAGTAAGTACTATATAGTCAGTGAAATTTGATGGTGCCACTTAATTTCAGCCATGACATTTGACCTATTACTGAATTTGATCTGACCTAATCAGTCACTTCTAATACGATTATGTGCCCAACGTTGGCTGCTTTTGCCCCAGATTTTACCTTACCCAAGCACAGACCATAAGGAAGCTCCATACATAACTTTGTACCTAGATCCTGGGTATTACTCCTGACACACGTTTGTTAACTCTGTTGCTTCCACGGCACAGTCGTAAAATACCCAGGCCTCGATGGGTTACATAGCACATACCTTTGCACCAAGACCCGGGGGTGGGCCCGTAGTTAGGGTTCTGCCACCATGGCTGAGGCTAACCAACGGCTCTTGTCCAGGAACGAATGTACGAATCTTCACAGGATGTCGCCCCTCGTCTGTAAATAACTGCTGAAACTGTTTCGTATATTTCTCGGCAGCCAACTTAGTTCCGAGAGTGAACCTGGAAAAGAAGACATGTTGCACATGTTACACAAACCCTTAACGCATTCGTCTATATGCAACTACGCCAAACCTAAGCGATGGTTTAGCGATTTGATTCCATATTCTCAAATAGGTTCTTATAGGTTATTCACTTGAAGTTAAATGTAATTTTCAGGCAATAAATTTAAAAGGACCCATGGACATTTTCATTATAAAATCCCACAGGAAAACACACACACGCATGTAGGCATACACACACGCACACATGCACACACATACACACACATACATGCACTTATGCATGCACGCACACGCACGTATGCATGCACGCACACGCACGCATGCACACCACACACACACACTTCTAAACACATATATAGACATGTGTTAATGCACACCATGCAACACAGCAGAGCTCATACGGAAAATATTTTAGGAATGGACGACATTTTATACTTCACAGCGATACATACACAACAAAAATTCAAATCCATATCAAAAACACTTAGGTACCTGTAGGTGCTCTATTTGTAATCCTACAGTCCTCATATATGCACTAAAACAGTACTGGGATGACATTGGATACATGGGATTATCATGTCAGAGTATATCGTGGTTATACATCATCAATAACGGCAAAGTAGCTAGATTCTCTATACAAATTATCCGCAGCATCCGTGATAGGTCTATACCTGCAGCCCTGCGGTCGAGCACACTCGGTGGCGCCATCTGGGTCGACGTGCAGCTCGCCGGTGTAGACGCCGTCGCTGAGTTGCTGTTGTATAGTGATCTGTGCACACTGCACCTTGCCAGGTGACTTCTCTGTCTCGAGAATGTGCTCGGCAACGACCAGCTGCCGACGCAAACGCACAACATGCACAGTTACAGGGTATATATGTGCGTGCATGCGTGAATGAAGTGTATATATTTGCGCGTATCAAAACACATTGCAAACAATAACAGCATGGAGCATTGTAGTGCAAACATATGCATATATGTATGAATTGGTTAACATCATGAACATAGTGAACAACAAACAGCAGCCTTTGTGTATATCACAGAGGAAACGTGAGGTGATCATCAACATCCGAGATGCTGCAGTATGAACGGCTTCACACCGACTCCATACTCAGTTAAAAGATGGTGACAACTGCTTATTCCTAATCTCATAACATAAAACCCTTATTTTATTATACCTAGACCGAAATCTCAATTGAAAGAAATCCAATTTAGTTGCAAGTTGCTGTTTGGAGTTGTAAATATCAAAATAAATAATTGAGTGTAGTTCATAAATCAGGGACTCCCTGAAATAGGTGTCATTAAAACATCTGAGCATTTGTCCCAGAGGTTCTGTGCCTCTATGACAGATGATGCTATAGGTTTTTAGAACTCGCTCTAAGACCATGAAATCGTGTTATGAAATATTGTAATACTAAACGCCTTGATCAGCTGAATCGTACCTGCTGGTTTTCAGATGAACTGCTGGGCTTCTCTATTGCCTTAGCATATTTTAAAACCTGCAACAGATAACCATAACAATGCATTCATGCATATCAGAAGCAATTATAATCATGATTATAGTGTCATTCAGTTTAAATTAATATATAATTAAAAAAAAATATTAAAATTAAAAGTTAGTTGTCAAGAGCTTCTTCTTCTTATGCTGTCCCTCGGTGTCGAGGATGTCATTGATGTCTTGGTTAAGTTGGGACCAAACACCAAAAGCATGTGCAAGAAATTTAAGTGCTAACTAATTTGCACAGAGTTAGTTAGCACTCACTGGGTTCCAACTCCCATTATCCAGCAGAGAGCGGATGGTATAAGATGTCAACAGCTGGATTACAATAAATAGGCATGTTAAGTCTTGGTAATGTTAGCAAGGTTAGTTCTAGCCAGGCTAGACCTTAGAGAGGTAATGTTATATCTTTTTAAAAGTAGCACCAGTTTTGCAATTGTTCATATGAAGAGGTATAATATAAAAATCAAAAATGTAAATGCACATTACATCAACTGCTTCAGGGGATATTAGCTCAATCTCCTTCTGTTTCCAAGAATCCACCACCTAAAGAACAACACAACATGTACAGCTTGATTGTGCAGTAATTAGCTATCATGCTATGCATAACATTTGTTTTCTGACCATTTCTCACCTACTTATTACAGTAGAACACCAGTTAACCATCAGAGGGTATGTAAATATTACCAGACTACGCATAATGCCTCACATATAAATGTTGAAAGTAAAATTGGTAAAATCGTAGACACAAACCACTGGAACCCCAAGGAGCCAAATTTGCAGTAGTTTGGTTGTTTGGCACTAACAAATACACATTCATGTATAAGCAGTTTGCGATAACGAATAGTCCATCGCACTACTGTTATTTCATATCGAACAATACCATAAGTGGCGCAAGTGAAGCCACAGATCTCATGAAACCAAGCAGTGATAGATTTACCATTTTTCCGATCTTCAAATTGACTGGTGCTGCAGTCTTGAGCTTGTCCTTGCGCTGGGCGACAAAGTCGTGGAGACGTAGCGAAGGAGGGGCCGCACAGGAAGCAAATCGACGCCGTCTGTTCACCGCCATTTGAGAAAACCTCTTCACTGATCTAACATGTTGGTGACTAACAATAAAGAACTCACCTAGTTGCATGACGGGCTGCGATGTGACAACGGTTGGTGCCGGGGAAGTGTCCTTCTGCAACATGGCGCTGAGAAGCAACTGCTGTGCCTGAGGCGGTTGCGCAGACTGCTGCAAGCAACCATGAAACATAAATCATGCAAAGCTTGTGCTAGTATGTTTAGAATTGTGTGACAGCTTAAAGTTATGAAATATTGAATGAAGGTTTAAAGGAATTGTGGAGTGAGTAAATATTGGGTGGGTGCGGGGGTGGAGAGACTACACATGTAATGACATATTTGTCACTTAAACACAATCTCCTGAAGTAGTAAAAAGCAAACACAAAATAAATCATAAAAACAAGGTGACATTTTGAATTAATTGTACATACGTGTCATTTTAGGACAATACTGTAATGAAAGCTAAAACTGTTACTGTAAATGGCAGTTTACTGTGATTGAGAACAACATCATTGGGAAATTTTACGAGAGGCCGAAACACGCTATTTAACCATAAATTTCACATTAATTCAACAAGAAAATCACTGGTTGGTATCCACTTAAGGCGGTGGTTCCGTTTGCCACTGAACTATTTATCTGCAACCTTGTCAAAATTGATCGAATGATTGGCCCTCCTTTGATGGACTTTTGCATGAAGTTGTCCAGGGAGTTGAGTAAGATTCGGTTCCTCAGGCTTAATCAGCTCCATATCAGAGTAGCTTCTCTCAACCGGTTGGTGTTGATATTGGAGTTCAATGCAGTTGCATTAGAAAAAGCAAGTTAACATACATCTCTTTAGCAGTACGACGATTTTGAAGAGACTTTTTTGGTCCTTACCCAAAGAATATTTTTTGGCAGAAACCCTGGTATAAAACCATATTCTAATCGCTCATATTTATCCTGTAATTGGTACATTGGCTTATTACTAGAGTGACATAGTTATCTTATACTCCATAGTGCATTCTATGACATATCGTTTAAATGTATATCGTTTAAATATATATCTTTTAGGTGGTATCTAGCGTGATTCTCTTACTAGGTAAACCCATGAACATCTCACTTTCACATGTTAGATCAGTGAAGAGGTTTTCTCAAATGGCGGTGAACAGACGGCGTCGATTTGCTTCCTGTGCGGCCCCTCCTTCGCTACGTCTCCACGACTTTGTCGCCCAGCGCAAGGACAAGCTCAAGACTGCAGCACCAGTCAATTTGAAGATCGGAAAAATGGTAAATCTATCACTGCTTGGTTTCATGAGATCTGTGGCTTCACTTGTGCCACTTATGGTATTGTTCGATATGAAATAACAGTAGTGCGATGGACTATTCGTTATCGCAAACTGCTTTACATGAATGTGTATTTGTTAGTGCCAAACTACTGCAAATTGGGCTCCTTGGAGTTCCAGTGGCTTGTGTCTACCATTTTACCAATTTTACTTTCAACATTTATATGTGAGGCATTATGCGTAGTCTGGTAATATTTACATACCCTCTGATGGTTAACTGGTGT